GAGCACATGATGATACAAGCATTGCATGTGTTCCAGAGTGCCTTTAGTGAAATTTTATTTTAATGGGAAAAACCTATTGTCTTTTTTTAATTTTGCTTTGAATTTGAATGTGATTAAATACATATATCCCCCAATTTATGTGATTTTGACTTCCACAGTTTTTTCATATCTATGATTATGTATGAATTTCTTTCATTTAATTTTTTTAATGATGATTGCTAAAACTATTGCAGTTATTTAAGACAAGAAACTTTGGATTTGCTAATGGCTAAAATGAATTATATTAAAAGTAATAGTTTAAAAATTAAAATTAAGAGCAGTGACATGCAAGGAATAACAAAGGCTATGCCATAGCTCAAGCAGTTAGTCGCTGGCTTCCCACCATGGTGACCTGGGTTCTGTCCCGGGTCTAGTCAAGTGGGATTTGTGGTGGACAAAGTGGCGCTGGGGTGGGTTTTCTCCAAGTACTTCGGTTTTCCCTGCCAATCTTCATTCCACCAAATTCTCCATCATCATAATCACCCGGGGAAGGCTACAATAGGCCAGTCAGTGGCCGCCGTGCCAAGTGGACCACTCTGGACTCCACCCCCCACTAAGATATTAAAAAAAAATGGAATAACAAATTTGGAGGTATGTGACTGCCCTTGGAAATGCAGGCCAGAGGGGGACACCTAGATTCACATGGCATATAATACAAGTACCTGCTGGGTTTGTACACCAGACATGTTGTCTGTACAGTTTATTATTATTGTACTTAGCAGCAAATTTGTTGACAAAATTATTTCAGCTCTCAGGGAAGTTGGTACCTGAGCATTCAGCAGTGTGGTGGTGCTTTTTATGTACTGGAATGTGGTTTCTTCATATCCTACACATAAAATTCTTTCCTTTTGTTCCATTGTCTTCCAGCCTGTGAATTACTGTCAGTGGTGAAAGTGGTTTTCATAACTAAAGTCATGCTTGATTCCAGGAGAATTACTACAACTCAGACACATTGCAGTCCCAATACTTTATTAAATATTCAATCTGCAGTCAAATGGATTTCAGCATGTACGTAAATGTGTAAGATGCATATATCACTGAACCAGAACCAGAGATCTTCACTTGCTGTTGCTGTGTGTACATTGTGAGGCACATAGTGTACCATTTAAAATGCCACCCAAACAGGAATCACATACTGCAGTATGAAAATAAAATCAGCTGTTCCACCTCTCCCAACTTCCCTTGTGACACTTGGGTTAGTGTCACCATTTGAAGCTCTGAAGGTGCAAGTATAGTGTATTCATGAGCAGAATGTGTTTTTTTCTTGAACATTAATTCAAATCAAAATCATCTGCTGCTCTTCAAGAAGCATGTACTGATGTGTACCTTGACCAGAAAGTACTGTATAAGATAACAGTATGCCAGCTGGTAACAAAATTTTAGGACACTGTGTTTATGACAGACAACATGCAGCATGGTGTCAGTTTTGACAGGTGATACGCTCTGCAGTGACAAATGCTAATCTGATCATCTTTTTTGTTATACTTATGTCACCTCTAAGCTTTCTTATACTGTCAAGTGTTAACTGACTGGACACTAGATGTGGGATTGATAATTGGATTTTTGCACTCTGGAAACTCATAACTACAATTAACCGTAACAGTTTTATGGATCTGCATGCTTAACAAATCACTATGGCATGCACCAAGTCTTCTCATTCTGCTGTGTCTTCTCCAGTTGTAGCTTGGTAACAGTTCCCAACATTATAGATTCCTCAGCTTCCATCTTTGATCGATCTCACAACTCCACTTGGTATTCCAATGCAACAGCTTACAACAGTGGTGGCTCACACTACCTCCACCAGGGGACAACTGTCTGTGACAATCCCCAATTGTCTTGGACTGTCTACATCCAAACTCGACTATCTCCGGCATCTCAAGACTGGTGTGCTTGTCTGTTGGTCCCCATTATATAAGCACAGGATGGAGCGCATAGAAAACACCTTTCCTTGCAGTCACTTTGTTACAGGGTGATTCAGAATTTTCATTGGCTGCACAGAATGCTGTTACAGTTTGGGTTGCATTTTAAATGGTACATCCTATATAACAACATAAGCATTCAAACTGCCTGTCCATTGAAATCAAAATCACTTATTCCTTGAGTTAGTTCTTCCAAACTTCTGTCACTTTTTGCTTGCTTCTACATATCCTGGTCTTCATAGATTCAGTTGCATTCCCCATTGCGTTTCATGCTGCAGAACTGTACCTTCACACCCACAAGCTTCCATAGTATTTGCTTCATTACTGTCACAGCAGTTAGGTGCCCATTTTGAATCCCTGCTAGGAAATGCCTAGTTTTTTTTCTATTATTGATAATGTGATAAGAGTGGGCTGTTTTTGGGAAATGAATAGGTAAACATGTTCCCAAGCATTCAGGAATAGGCACCCATTGCTATGCAACGGTTCTAGTACTATGATTCACTGCACACAGTGAAATTTCAACTGTTGAAAGCCAGTATCCACAGCAACAAATTGCTCAGAAGCACAGCAATGGAAGGACACATTAAGATTAACTGTTGGGAATGGTGTCACATTCAGCCAGCTGAAGGGTTATGCCGGACTCAGAAGTGACGTCTTCTTTTTATGTGGTATAGTTGCAGTAACCTTTAGAGTGTTCTCATTTTTCATAGTTACAAGGTGTTATAATCAGTTGTGGTTCCACATGGTGAATATTCAATAAAATGACTCACCAAGCCAAACCCATGTCTAAAGTCACCAATATACATGACATTAATTTTCCTTAGTCCTTCCAGGAAAATTACACATCCCATCCAATTCAGTTGCAGTTAATCTACCTTATCTCATTCGACACTCTGTAAGTACATCAATTGATACTGCATAAAGTAACTGAATAGACAGCCCAGAACTATTATAACTCATGCATCTACATTAGATTCATGTGATTCTTTCTCTACTGAAGAAACTAAAACAACATACCCCATGTTACTAATTCACCAACTGTTTCCAAAAATAGTGACCTACCTGCTATTCCTACCCTAAACCAGGGATTAAATCATATACATGCATACACACCTTTGTATCCCCAGGTTTTGGAGGGTTGAAAGAATTTTAGAACATTCAGAATAGTAACTTTGTCCACTGACTGATGGCAAAGTGTATGAACCAGATCTCTCTCTCCAGTGCCAAGGAGTTCTGATGTTTAGATTTTGTCCAGGTGTCACATTAATTGAGAGGCTCAGGTGCAAAAACACTAACATTGATTAAGAAAAATTAATTCTTTAGATATTTTGTTGAATAATTTTACATGAAAATGCAAGGTGTAAGGCTGTTTTTTATTTATGTTAGCATCTTTTTTACACATCTACAAGGTAAATGTAAAGCTCACCCTTTGCTTAATTGATTAAGCATCATGCCATGAATATGTATGGGAGAGTGGGGGTATAGGTCCACCATTCTTGACCTCAGCACTAGATGAAGGTGAATGGTCACCTTCATGCCCTGGCTTCTTTACCTCTGGGGAAAATGCCCCAGTACCCATCAGATAGGAGGCTGGGTGGGCCAAAAAACTGATCTGGATGCCATGGAGTAGAGAAAAGTCCCTTATCCCTGCTGGATATCAAACCCCAGCTGTCCAGCCCACAGCCTCTCACTATACCAACTGAGCTTCCTGGCTCCTGCTTAATTAATTAAGGACATATATTAAGATATATGGCTGGTCACAGTTGCCAAGTGGTCTAAGGCATGTACTGTCTTCACTTGCTTGGAAGCTGGGATCGTGGGTTCGAATCCTACACAAGGAATGGATGTTTGGTGTGTGTATGCGTTTATTCTGTTTGTTGTCCTGTGTTTAGGTAGAGGCCTTGCGACAAGCTGATCACCCGCCCAAGGAGTCCTACCATCTGTAAAAATGATCAATGAAACTGAGAAATCGGCCCTATGCTCCAAAGTGGGAGCAAAGAGGAAGAAGAAAAAAAAAAGATATATGAGTGAGTGGAGGTACAGCACTGTGCATTCTTAGCCTTCAAACTAGATGGAGGTGAGTGGACACCTTCATGCTCCCTGCCACTTTAAGCCTGAAGATGAGGCAATTCCTCCAAAACAAGAATTGTGTCTACCATGCTGCATGGTATCACACTCCAGAAACCTATAATCTTAAAGCTTCTAGTTTCCCATCACCCAGAAAATGTTGGTTATCCCTGTTCAAAAATATCTGGTAAGCCATTTTCTTATTCTCCTCTTCACATCCTTTACAACACAGAAATTGATGTACACCCAGATGCATTCCATAGACAGTAGTAAACAAAATGTGTAACCAGTCTGATGACTTAACTACACATTTTCAAGTGTATAAGCATAAAGGTAAGATAAAGTTGCCCTGTGTTTTAACTAATTAAGCACTACGCCATGAAGGCAAATGGGGGAGTGGATGTATAGATCCACATTTTCTTGACCTTGGCACTAGTTGGAGATGAGTGATCAGCTTCATGCCCCTGCCGCTTTACCCCAGGGAAGGAGCCCGCAGTACCCATTGAATAGGAGGCTGGATGGCCCCACAACTGGTCTAGATGTGGAGAAGAGAAAATTCTTGATCCTACCTGGACTCGAATTCTGACCCGTCATCCAGCCCATAGTCGGTCGCTATACCGATTGCACTATCCTGGCTCCGTCTATATGTGTAAAATCTTTTTTTTTTAGATCTACTTTTGAAACTGGCATAAAGTTCAGTTTGCAGATAGATGAAATATGTTTCATGGTCAGTGGCTATGGTCTTCTGCGTTGTAACACTGTGTAGTTTGGAAAAATTCCAGAATTTCTGCTGGGATGTCAGGCTTTTCACGAACGACATGGTGTTACCACCCAGTCACTGTTGTGAGAACCTCAGACCCACCATGTGTCGTGCTCATCCCTCCACAAATGGCCTTGCTACTTTCTCAGTACAGAATACATACATTTGTGGAATTCAGATCAGAGGAACAAAATAAAATGAGTAACAATTCTGAATTGATTTCTGAAAGAACGTTTTATTCACTCTATATACATTAAAACTCCATCATGGTTACAATGATATATAATGTAAGTGTTCAACAAGTCACCTGCATACTGTCAGCACTGTATGCTGCTGTGAACGGATGAACTGCCCTGCTACATATTCACTTCCACAGAGTTCTCATACAGTGTGCTAGAGGGATAAAAATGCTGGGAAGGTCAGCCCAGTCAAGATAAGCAATGACGTGTACGATGTCTGGCACTCTGCAGTCTCCATATCCTTTTCAGACCCAGAACACACAACTGTGACAGCAAGGAATTAAAAAAGAAGGAAAATAATGGAGAAAAATGAAGTAGGACAAGATGAAAATGAGAATAAGAAAAGGTATCAAGGGAAGCAAAAGAGAAAAAAGACGAAAACAATGAAGCAGGACAAGAAAATGAGAATAAGAAGGGTAGAGAAGAAAATAAAGCAGAACAAAAGTAAGATGTCACAAGAAGAAAAACAAATAGGGAAATGAACTGTGACATTCCTGCTGAGTTGGGTCTGAAATGGATCCAGGGATGGACCTTTCACATTCACGTTACAGAAACTACTACACTCAGAATGGTTTTCTGTATTTAGCCTGTATCCAGACGCGATACATTGTTAGGAGTTTCCCTCGATTCACTTGCAGGCGACGATCCACAAGATTTTGCACCTCTTCAAAGCCAGCTTCTTCAAACAGGCTCTTCACCTCAGCTGAAACATTTGTATGTAACGTAACTCAGCTACCAGTTTACTGACATCGTAATTGGGTTTGAACCATGAAATCTACCAAGACGACAATTTCTGTATACTTGCAACATTTTTCCACCACAAAAATTATCTTTGTCAATCTCAACAACTTGAAATGTTCTAGAATGACAGCCACATATATACTAAGATGCTGCGCCAAGCCACTGCTCAGGTGGTTTGTGGTGCACTTCTCATTTCCAGGCCTACATATTCCTAATAAAGCCTAGTTTACATTAGGCCACAATTGTCCACTTCTCAAGGAGTTAGTTACATAAGGCCATAAATGGACTTTTCCACATATCCCAGAAATCATTTCACAGATCCTGCTGAATTTTTATAAGGGGGACTTCTACTAAAAATTGTTGCCAATACTAATTTTCAGCCACATAAATCCATAATAAAGCCTAGTTTACATAACACCATAACTGGACTCTTCCTCCTATCCCATAAACTCACCGATTTTGCTGAAATTTGCTATGGAAGACCCGCTAATTTTCATTTCACTCTTCCAATTTTTAAATAAGCTTAATGATCTTCAAAGAACATTACTGACTATTTTGTGCAATACATATGGAATACACCCTTTCCAATCTTATTTTCTATTTGGCAGATCCCAGAAATTCAGATTCTTGCCCATTTTTATAGTTTCAATAGACACCAAATTTGGAAGTATCCAATCAAGTGCATGCTTGAAAACCATTGAGCATTTCAAGTCAGCTGTAGGATTTCAGTGTGTCTTTTGCTCTCCAATGTCTATAGAATGTAGCACAGGCAGGAAACTCCCATTTTGTACCCAGAAAATCTGGAGCATATACAGTATCAGCTAACCAAAGATATAAAAAACAGTTAAATGTTATTATGTGTAAAACTGAGTTTTCTTTGGGGATATAATGAATGAATGAATGTATGAGGGGTGGGCCATAATAATCCGGGCCTTGCACTGCAACCTTCAATGATTTATTGTGCTTCCCATTTTGATTAACCCTTTATGTATCCTACACTTTGAATGAAATGGAGGGCTTTGTTTATGGGGTTACACAGTAGTCACTTGGTTCCAAAAAGAACTGACCCAGGTGATGAAATCTTAAATAAGCTATAGCCTCACAGTCACATAGGATAAGAGTGGCTGGCTGATTCATCTTCTTCTAGGCACCTGTTGCAAGTAGGGGTCATCTGTCAATCCCAGTTTGAAAAAGTGTCCTTTTAGGTGACAGTGTCCAGTGAATAGTCCTGCCACCCATCTTAATTGGTATCTGTTTAATTTCAACAGATACTTTGTTCTTCTGGCAGAGGGTATAAGTCCTGTTGCCTGTCTGAGTCCAGTTGTGGATTCCCAATGCTTTTTGGGATTTGTTTATCCAGTCCGACTGTTTTCTTGGCAACCCCAATTGACATGCCACAAGCTAGTTCAGGTCCTGTGAACAGCTGTTCAGATCCTGTTCTTGTCAGCTGATCTGCCATTTCATTATCAACAGTACCCTCAATGACCTGGCACCCATGTCAGCTGAACTCTATTATGTTTGGCCAGTTATATGAGGGACTGGTGGCAGTCTCAGACCAATTTTGAAGTGATCTGGTGTTTACCAAGTGCTTTAATTGCAGTTTCGCTGTCTGATAGAATTTAGATGTTTCTGTTTTTATAGTTTCTATCTAAATTCTCAACTGCTCATGCCTTGATGGCGAACACTTCTGCCTGCAATACTGTTGTATACTGCCCAAGGCTAAAACTAATCTTTTGCCTTGTACCATGGCAATACACCCCAGCTCCAGTGCCTTTATTTGTGTTGGAGCCATCTGTGACTAGATTAATACCCCCTTTCTGTCGGGCTGAAATCCCTCTTTCCATTCAGTTCTCTCAGGGAATGTGATCATGAAGGGTTTATCATTTTGTCAGACCCCCATCTGTAGGATAGGTTATTTCTCATGTCCTGAGTCATGTATGCATGTCCAAAACCTTCGGATTTAGGTCTCCATTGATCATTACAATGTAGTCTGTAATTTCCTGCCTTGGCCTCTGCTTCCACCTGCAGGTGTATGGGGGGGGGTTCCAAGAAGGGCTTCCATTGCAGCTGTTGGAGCTGTGCTCATTGCTCCTGTAATTCCCAAGCAGGCTGTCCTGCCTGTTCTGCCTGGCTTGTTTTGAGTAACTCTGGGCCACCTTACAGTGGCAGCATAGGTAACTATGGGTCTTAGAACAGCAATGTATCTGGGATATAATGGCACATAATCTCTTTTCCTCTGTTGGAACAAAATGTTTAAAGGAGTTTTAAAATATAAAGAACAGTCATGCGCTGGCTTCCCAATGCACAGCCTCAAGTTCAATCCACACGTGACGTATTGTGGGACATGTGGTGGATGAAGGAACACTAGAGCAGGTTATTGCTGCTTCTTTAGTTTCTCCCTGCTGAACACCAATCCACCATTGCTCCACTTATTTGTCACCATCCCCTGAGTTATGTGATTGCTTTGGCCAGGCAGCAAATTATCACATCATCTTTAACTTGAGGGCCCTGCTTGGCTGGTCACAGAGGAGACAATTTTTCCTTCTTTTGAGGCTTATGAGATCATCTTATTGCCTGTTCATGTGTCCATCATTTTTTAATTTTGTATGCAGTCTGTGTCATATCAAAGGAAAGTAGGTGATTAGTTCTTCCCATAACTTCTTATTTATTATGTACTAGTATTTACCTTGGGTGAAAAAGTAGACTCTAGTTCCATCACCTCTTACATAGAAATTGTCAGATAGGCAGTGTCCCTTCTTGAAACGCAGCTGTGCCATATCATAGCGACCATAATCACGGAAAACCAGCAGCCCACCTGGGCGTAGATATTTATAAACCTGTGTCACTACATGAGCCATCCTGTAAGAACGAAAGGAAGATACATATATGATACACACTGATATATGCAAGCACTTCTGTCTTCCACTCTGCATCTTCAGAATCGATACAATGAACACTCATAAAAATAAATCAAAAGTTTCTTTAATTTCAGTACTGAAGTTCTTCTGTGTTCAATTATATTTCTAAAGACAAAATATGTTATACACTAATGAATACAAACTCTGAACAGGCATCTAGTAATTACAAAATTAATATGGAAATCTTAGGATATATGGAACAATAATCATATTGCTTTAGAATAACCATCTAAAATAACCATATTAGATGTAGTCTTCTAGGGTGACTGGCCATTGCAGAGGCTGTCTCTGTCTTCACCATCAGGTGTTGATGTCATGTGTGCTGCAGCCACATGTTACGTTTATACCAACAAAGAATGCTCTTAGTTGTCTGTGCTGGGGCAGGATGTCACAACCCACCTCCCTCAGCAGGTTCACACTGACAGAAAGTGTGTCACTCATAACATCAATACCTGCAGGCTGACAGACAGTCTCTCTCAAACACCATATGTTATAAACTCCATCTTCACATGACTGATTGTCTGAGAAGACTTCACTGAATGGACCCATGTGCTTACAAATCTTGACTTTCTGTATCTGGCTCACATCTGACAAATTGCTGGATATTTAAACAGATTATCTCTGGATGGTGAGCCAGAATAGTGTAGTCGGTATAGCGACTAGTTATGGGCTAGATGACTGAGGGGCAGGAGTTCAAGTCCCAGTAAGGTCAAGAATTTCTCTGCTCCACGTCATCCAGACCAGCTCTGGGATCCACCCCACCTCCTAGTCAATGGGTACCAGGGGCTCTTTCCCCAGAAGTAATGCAGCCAGAGCGTGAAGCTGACCGCTCACGTCCAGCTAGTGCCGAAGTCAAGAAAATGTGGATCTATATCCACTACCCCATATGCCTTCATGGCATAGTGTTTAATTTGTTAAGCACACGGACAACTTTACATTTTACCTTTACCTGTCTGGATGAATTGCCGAAAGAACAAATATCATTACAGCGATATCCAGACTATTTGGTAGGAATGGAGGCTGCCAATCTTCAGCTGTCACATCACATACAAATGCTTGACACCTGTCACAAACAGTGAGCCAGTTATTTCATTAACATTCATTTAGTTTATATGAAACAGGAACAGAAAATACAAAACTTTTCCATCACTGCCAGCTCACTCACCAACGTAATTTGGCTTATCAGCCCATCAGTTTCTATCAGTGGTGTGTGAATGGTGTGAGATCTGATGCCATGTAGTCTGGTAAGAGGTTACTGGTGCCTCAGAGGAACATTTAACTTAGACCTGAAGATGGAGGCAATGTCTTCCTCCAGTGTTGGTGAGGTTGTACCAGACTTCATTGCATCACATCCAGAACATCACAGTAATATGGGTATGTTTCCTCTGCCTGCTCTTCCTATTCGTCTCCCAACTAGGAAGCTATCAGAAGGCAGAGCCATAAAAATTGCACCTTAGTAAATGCTGTTTTACATGTAAGTCTATTTTTTTTAGGTTAAGCCAGTCCACAATGGTACTATGGACCAGACAACTGAACTGAACTAAACTGATGGCTGTATTCCCAACAGAAGCAAAAATATATCACCACATCCAGAATAATGAGGTTCTTATCAAGTGGACACTGGGACTCTTTTCCTAGGGGTAAAAGTAACAAAGAAGCTGGGGGGGGGGAGTCTTGAATGTATGGAGCTCTGCTGCCACATCATCCCACACATCTCCATCAGTATATGAGTGTTTTTACACATCCTTTTAGCTGTGACACTAATAATGTCCACTTCTGGAATACATCTGACATACATTTCTTGCTTTCCCTTACTCTGAAGTTAAATATTCAGGATAAGAAAGCAGACTCAATGACAGTTTTAAAAATTTCATGAAATAGCTTTACCTTTTTGGATTATACTCAGGATTATCTTGCAGTATCTGTATGGCTGTGGATGAGAAATCACAGCAGAACACGAACAAGTGTGGGTTTACATTATACCGAAGTATTGGAAAAACAGTATTGCCAACACCACAACCTATTTCAAGTATCGTGGTTCCTTTCCTTTCAGTGTTTCTTTCTAGCATGTTTGCCAAACCTTCTGAACAGTGTTTGACTTCATCTTCTGTATTTTCACAAATGAGCACTTTGCTGTCCTGCTCAACAGTGGGTTCACCAGCAAAGGAACGCAACACTTCGTCAGCCTGTTCACTCTTTTGCTCCTTTTGAGCATCGACACATTTGTTGTCAGGAGCTAATTCTGGGAACTCTGTGAAGAGCCAGTGCCTGTCTTTAAAGAATCTGTTTTGATGGATACCATAAAAAGCATCCCAATATTTATTCGCACATCCTTCATACATCTCTTGGTCATCCTGGCTGGCAAAAACTGAGGAATTCTCTGTCACCTTGCATTTTGCCAGTTCTTCCTGACAGGTGTCCCATTTAACATTATCCCTAAATAAATGAAAAAAATACAAAGTCAGAACTCAGGGCTTGTTCTTCTGAAAAGGCATCTATGCTTACATGACAATTTGTGTCAAATTTCATTAGGAATTTTATTTTAGATGGTGCTGGAGATGGATGACGAGCCAATGCATGAATGCTAATGAAATGTAACAGAATTTGTAAGTAAACTGACAGGAACCAAATTACCTTTGCTTGTTAACTTTCACTGCAGACCCTCACTAATAAGTGTAGATGGTTGTTCACAAGAAGTAACCTCACCACACACATAATTCCAGTCAAAGTTAGAACTCATTCATATTTACAAGGGCAGCAAACAGTTTACAATACAGAGGTCAATTAATCATCCTACCGCTAGCCCAACTGATTAACATGCTGCTGATCAGGTAGTTAGAAAAAACTGCATATAATCCTGCCCCTTCCTTGACCTAAAATATTTTATTCATTGTGCTAATTAGAATTGCAGGTCCTGACTGCTCAGCCTGGAGGTAATCTGGGTGGGACTGGGTACTCCTGCACGTGCACACGCTTCCAATTACACTGTGACCCTCTTCCCTGCACACTACTGTTACACCACACCACCTTTCCAATTCTGAATTGTTTAGTATCTTTCAGCTCATTTATGTTCAATTAATTTCAACTGTGTCAAATATTCAAGCTGTGCTGTTTCTGCATACACTGAAGTCACACCTTCAGGGTGAATGTGAGGCAGAAGGAGAAAGTGGATTGATATGTAGAACACACAGTAGAAATGAGGCGAAACTGCCCAGTTCATATCCATTTTCATGGTTCAAGTTGTGGGCCTATTTCAGTGGTTTCCCTCATGATGAGGGAAAGTAAGTGTGGTGATTAGCAAGGCCTTCAGTTTTGTTAGAAGGATAACTGGGTGTACGTGATAAAATATATTAGGGCAGGTTGATTAGGAGGAAAACAAAAGGCATATCAAAGCTTAAAATTTTTATCAATTAAAAACAAACAGTGAACAACAGTGAACACCAAGCAATGAAAAACATCTAGGCGAGTAATACTTAACCTCACATGAACTCAATGCCACACGTCCCAAGTCGAAACACATTCTTCCATACGTATAATCACATGAGTTGCATATCCGTCCCCACCTTAACACAACCGGAACACGCTTCAACTACCTACCATACATTATTATGTTTCTTTGCTAGGGGGATTCACTCCTTATTGACATCATATACGCGGGCGAAATTATACCATAATTTATATGTTAACTAGTTTCGTCTGGGGAATCAGTATTATTTTAATTCACATTTTCATCATACCTAGCTCATGATATTGCGTGATCCCAACATACCAAGCATTAAACTCAAACACATTTTCAGGATTTGTCAGATATCTTGACCCATGTTGAGGCTTCTTTCTAAATCGCGTATGGCACTTCGCAGTGAAACTTGTAGCCCACAACGCAGAGTTACTGGTGCATCGTATTATTTTATAAAGGTACATATTGAATTGCTGCTATATCCTACCAGGCATTATGCTGGAATACATTGTCACCGTCTTTAAGGAATCGAGTCCCAAATTGTGGTCTCGTATCGACTCCACTTAATTGTTCGCCAGAAGCCGCCATTGTTACAGTACCAGCGTATTAGCATAAATTAAATTAATTTTTCTTATAGAACTTTAGTGCTGAAGACAGAATATTTTTTACAACTTTTGTTCTTATAAGATTTACTTCAGCAAACTTTTCTTGCTCTAATTCAATTTTAACCAGAGTTCTTGCAAGCGTATTTCCTTCGTATTGATAACGTTGTATACCCTGACGAGCACAGAAACTTGCAGAATGTAATTTACTGCCATCTATTAAGGGCGTTCAAAGCATTGTGTCACTGTCGACATAGGCGATCCGCACGTTTTGTCGTAAGATGGTGCGAGCAGAACGATGCATATAAATCCACGCCCACTATACTTTTCCCTTTAAAAAGTAAGCAAAGGTTGGATTTCCGAATCAAAGGGCCTTCTAGACTGATATATAATGTAGCATATGCGAAAGGTAATTATTTGGCACGTATGTTTTAAGTAGGTATTGACCAGAAGCTTGTAGATCAGATTTTCGAAAACTGTCATATTCTGTCAATATTTTTAATGCTTGTCAATAAGTACTGACCACACAGAGCAGCCGGTTGTCAGTCAAGTCGTAGGGTGTGTTTTTAATTACTGTTCATCGTCTGTTACTCTTAACAAAATTTGGATGTATTCATTCGCGCCAAAAGACTGATTAGTGCCTTTTGGTTTTATTGTGGTGTATGTAGTCAGTTTTTTGAAATGGTAAGTGTGAGGTCGTTTCTTTGCCAAAATTGTAATATTTTACAAATGCAATTGCGAACAGATTTTGTAAACGGTTCAGAGCTTTAAGTGTGAGGTTTATCTGTTTTGAACTTAGTTTATACTTGTTACATATGAAGGATAATAATATTCCCTTGCAGATTGCTGCTTCCCTTTCCTAAGAAAGCTGGGCGGCATGCATCATCTTCCTGGTTATCTCTAGGTCTTCTGTTTTCTTCCAGATTGGAAATAGTTACAGTCGACATTCAATGTAAGTTTGTCTAATATTATTAAAGTGAAAGATACTTGATGTGTATGGAGCATGACTATATGATAGTGTTCCTTATTGAGGAGCCATCACATATAGAGTATTGAATCTTTCATAATTTCTTAGAAGTGTAGTGTATGTAATGGTACTGTCAATGACTATAAATTAGCGGTTGAGTTTTGGAGTATTAGGCTGGAAGATTTTGAGGTTTGGGATTTGAGAAAGTGCATTCTGTGAGAATGTGATACTTCCATATACCTATGGGAACTGGTAACTAATTCTGTGAGCAGTAAATTGTATTGTAAAGGCCAGATTTTTGGTTAGTGATACAGCATTAAATGACCTCAGCACATCTGCTCTATTTGTAATCATAAATTAGAAGAAATATGTGAAAAATCTGATGTTGTTACACATTGTGTTTATATGTTTTTTTAATAATAGTGAGTACTCAACTGTGAGGTTTATGTGACACATATGTACAAAAGTCATTTATTCTATAATATAAATAGAATTAAAGAAAAGAACGAAATTTAATTTGGGTTACTTTTGCCAACTTGTTTGGGAGGACCATATTCCTCATGTAATGCACCCTATACTATTATCATTCTGTACACTGGTTCTGATTCCTATCCCTTGATTTCATATTCATCACCAGTATGTAAGGTATAATCCTAAAGTTTCCACATTAATCCTAAGTTCATCAAATAATTTGTGCCTGAACCTGTACAATTATATGAGTAGTGATGTCATAGCACAAATTCAAGCCTGCTTTTAAAATCCAATTGAGTGCCACTGATGTGTTTGTGTAACATCTTCACTGGAGCCATTGTTGCACTTGGAATCTAGGATCAAGTCAGCAGGAGTGAAGTCAGGAGATCAGGGGGTCTGATTAAGCTGGGTGACGTGAAATATGGTTAGACACTTGTTATTTATAAAATGTTGTGTTCTGGTGCACTGTCATGGTGAATTATCCAGCAGTTTGGAAAGTTTCTCTTATAAACTGCATCAGTCTGACCCTGAAGAATGAATTTCTTAATTAAATAAACAGTTCATTGAAATAATGATTGAGAAGGCAAGGAAAACAAAATATAAATGGAACCAATGAACATCTGCACTTTAGACCTTGGCAAGGTGAAAGATTTCTATTGGCAGTTCTTGGTTTCTGGTTTGTATTTGAAAATCCAAGTTTCATCACCAGTGACATCACGCTTGATGACATCTCTGCAATGAAAATTGGAATAAATTTCCTGACCATCTCACCTTTCCATCATGACTTAGCTTTTCAGAATTTCTTTTGTATGATCCTTCAAGTTTAGGTTGTTCACTAAGTAACATTGTCCTGTTTCCTTTGGAGTGTTATAATGTTTCATCATTAATTTGTCACTCACTCACTCACTCACTTCAGTATTTTTTGTTTTCATATTCGTTTTGGTTACAAAACATTTTGGTCTTCTTTACACCTGTGAAGTGAACCATTGTATTTGTAACATAACCTCATCACCAAAGTCCACTTTCATCATCTCAGACAAATCCTGTACAAGATTTTCGAGTTTCACGCAGCATTTCAGATTTGTTTATGGTGGTGAGCATTCAGACCGTGGTTGTTAGGTAATGACATTGTGACAGCATTTTGGAGGAACTTATTCTCTCCATCTACAGGGCTGAAGTGAGTACAGCAAGAATGCACCCAGGTGCTCGGCAGGGCATAGAACTGTGGCAAGGGTGAAGGAGGAGGAACCCTGTCTGGGTCATTAGGAATGATGAAATGGAATTGTGAGGAACATATTGACTGGATGGTACACAAAACTATAATTTTGTCTGTGATTTTGTATGCGTATGCAACTTAGTGTCTGGAGAAACAGAGGCTGAGGGTGTGTGAGAACAAGGTGTTGAGGAGAATATTTGGACCAAAGGAGAATGAAGTGACAGGAGTTTGGAGAAAACTGCATAATGAGGAGCTTCATAACTTGTACTCCTTGCCAAGTATAATTATAATGATCAAGTCAAGGAAGATGAGATGGGCAGGGCATACAGCAGTATGTGGGAGAAAAGGATAGAGAGAAGAGAAGAGGACATACAGGATATTGGTGGGAAAGTAAGAAGGAAAGAAACCACTAGGAATACACATAGGTGGGACAATAATATTAAGATGGATCTCGGAGAGATAAGATAGGCCGGTGTGGACTGGATTGATATGATTCAGGATAGGGACCAGTGGAGGGCTCTTGTGAACACAGTAATGTACCTTCGGGTTCCATAAAATGTTGGGAAATTGTTGAGTAGCCGCGCAACTGGCAGCTTCTCAAGAAGGGCTCAGCCCAATGGAGTTAGTTGGTTGGCATGGATAATGAGATGTGGAGGGAGATCCAGGTCTCTGTGTTTGCTCCCCTTCTGAGTATAACTCTTGTCAGACCATAATGAAAGGAAAGCACATTTGTGAGATTTTGGATTCTTGTGGTGGTAACTGTGAAGATAACTGTCTTCTGGGATGTAACAGTGTGTAGTTTGGAAGGTGAATGTGAACGTTTTGAAGGAACTTGATGCCTTCATCTACACTACAGAATGTTAATGATAGGAAGGGAAGGTAGCTCACAGGGCTGATGGCGTTCTGAAAGAGCACAAGGAGAATCAGTAGGCATCTTTCGTTCAGTGAGCATTCTTTTCAGTAGAACATTCATTTCTTGGCAGCCTTGTCCAAAACATTCTGGATCTGACAGCCATCAGATCTGCCTCACCTGATAATCTGACATGAAGTAGCCAGGTATAAAATAGAATCACCATTGAAAACTGAACACATGGGAAAAACAACTGAGTATAGTGTTTGTCAGACTTTGCTGACTGAGTGAGCACACTGCAGGGTTTGATATTGCTGAGTGTGGCAGTTTAACATGGGAATACAGTAGTCAAATGATTGTGTATCAATGTGAACACATAGATAACATGAACTAGGCTGAGGGAGGTGTTTATTTCAACTGGACAGAAATTTTTCTTGTCTCAGCAATCAACTCATCTAATGCTGTCCACCTTAATATAGCTTTCTCTGCTTCTGCTCAGTAGAATTATATGTGCTGACCCTTAGTGAGCTCTTCAGATATTCGACCACATGGCACTCACAGAACAGCCCTGGTAGAGTATCCAAGCATCTTCAAACCTTCATTATCCCAACCCATCAGATTGGTTATAAGTGACACTCATCTTAGGACAGTCAGAATAGTCACAAATGGCTTCTCTGCCACACAGATGAAGACAGCAAGTTCATCCAGGACACATGCCTGTCTACCAAACGGCATGACATTGCATCCTAATTGTTTATGTATGAAGGGTGATTTTTTAGATGAGAATCCAGTGTTAGGAATGCAAGGTAATGTCATGTATCAGAGGTCTAGAACCATTTTGGTAAAACTTGTATGCACAGTACAGTGATTTTTTAAGTGAGATCTATTCAGAGTAAGATGTTTACTGCGCATCTTTTTTACAAAAAGTTTTGAAAGTGTTCACTAATTATTTTGCGTACTTAACTGAGCATGATCCCGTATGTTCCTAGACACTGCCTGCAGTGTCATGGGCGAAATGTCAACAGTGATGTCGTTGATTTTCAGTTCATCCAGATTGTGAGAGTTATTGCTATAGGCATTGTGTTCAGTGTAGCCACATAGGATAAAATCGTATGGTGACAAATGTGGCAAGTATAGGGGTCATAGTCCTAGCAAAATATTTTGAGATCTTAGCAAAAAGCATACCAAATTCATGGTTCCCCATGCTGTATGCCATGTAATGCTGTCTTGTTACTTTTCCAAATTGCCTAAGCCCTCTAATGTATGACCGTGCTAACATTTCTAGCATTGGGTTCTTGTTTAAAAATATCACTTTGTTTTGAACAATATTGTACATGTCATCAGAAATCATTTTAACTGCCTCAGCCAATTTAATGGGTATACAAAATTCAGTGAGAATGTTGTTCATTATTTTTCCCTCTTTGAGTCATGGAGTTGACTTACAACCGGCTGCACTTACAACCACAAAAAAATTAAAAATAAAAGATGATTAAAATGTAAAAGTTTTTAAAAATAAATTATAAAGATGATAAAAAGATTAGAAAGGTTAAAAAATACTGTTAATAAATATATGGCCAACATACGACCAGTCGACTTACAACATGTGTCAGAACAGAAGTCGGTTGTAAGTCAACGACCAAGTATATATAATCAGTGTATTGTTCCATTGTATTCCCATTTGTTTCCATTGTCTGATAATGCAGATCAGTAGTTGATCTGTTGTGTTGAAATCCACACTGATGATCCCCCAATAATTTTTTATATAGAAGGGATTAGTCTTGAGAGAATAATGCTGGATTAATTTTGCACAAAGAATATAAAAATATTTCTCAGTAACTGCTGCAGTTGATTTTACTTGTATCACCTGTTTCATCATATCTCATACATAAATATGACACGAGCGCCACCTAATCTACATTAATTATGAAAACATTGCAATTGGTGATTGTGTCATTGTGGAACATGTGTTGTAGTGTGCTTGATTCCACTGCTGCAAGAAATTCAAAAGGAATATGGGTTAATATGTAGAAGCAGTTACCCATCAAAATGCTGTTCTCACGCATTCATGCAACATAGCAAAAAATTTATACATTATTTTTGGCTCAGTAATATCAAATATTGGTTTACATCTCTTGGCACAAATGCTACATGGCAGGAAAAAAAGTAAAGCTATCCCTGTAACAGGTCGTGGAGGCCCATAGGGTTGTGAGATGTCGAGGCTCCCACATATTCTATATAATAGTCAGCTCACAGATGGAGGTGAGGTTGTCACCCTTACGGACTGCCTTAAAGTAAGCCATGGCCGCTCAGTTTTCCTTTACATATCACCTTTCATAATCATACTCATGATGGAAAGAGGCCATAAAATTCAAGGACACTTAAATTTAAATAAAAAACATGTTTATCTGCTGTTATTTCTGATATGTAAAAAAACGCGATTTATTGCAA